AAACAGTAAGGCTTACCATCTGATCCTCATTTCTGGCCTTTTTCTCGCAAGCGGCCAGCACTTGGACGCCACCATCTCCTCCACGAGATCCCGACCTCTGGAATACCGGCAAGCTAGAGTGAAGGCTCTATCACAAGCCTCACGCCCTTCATCGACCTCCACGATAGGAAAACCTTGGGTCGAAGGTTTCATCGGAGTCATGACTAAAGCCAACGGGTACTGAGTGAGCTTCTTTCCATCATCGCCCATGAAAGTCATGCCGACGGTCCTAACATAAAACCAATATTGCATCCAATCTTTCCCCCACTTGTTCTTCTGAGCAAAAGAAATCTCCAGCTTAGCGCCCTTCTGCTGCCTCTTCAACATAAAGGCACAGCTGCCATATTGAGCCACAAGCTGGTCTTCGCCAGCTCTCTGAGGCTATCGCTGAAGCTCATAATATTCACAAAAAGTGCCAACGTGTGGCTTCACGCCATAAGAGAAGCAAGCACAACAGAATTTGCTTAGGATAAGGATATCATTGGGGGTGAGGTGGTGCAGTTGTACCTCAAAAGCTTCCAAAACCTCATGAAGGAACCTCGCCGTAGGGAAGCGAAGGTCGCAAGTAAAGAAATCTTGGAAGACCATGGCATCAGCAGCCTGCGGCTTGGGGACCATCTCCCCTGCGGAGGCCTCGCCTTCTTCTTGCCAACAAAGCCCTCGTGTTCCAGCACCATGATCATATCCTTCGTCATGAGCTAAGGACCGAAATCCCATGTCCTACTTGCACCAGCCATGTCGTCTACTTCTTCTGGTTGTAATCAAATCCCCAACATAGGCTTCAACACTAGCAAGGTCCTCCTCTAACTCGAGAGCCTCCACACTGGCCCGCATACACTCCTCAAACCGTGGGACAACCCGCTAGCCCTAACACTGAGTAGGTGAGAATAAGGGTCGTACAAGGAAGCCCGACGGGGGTGGGAACTAACAGGAGAAGCCACTTCTGAACACTAAGAAAAACGCAGTAGAGCAAAGGCAGATCAAAGCTAAGCGAAGGCCAAAACAAGGCAAGAGATCAAAAAGCAACAGTAGCGAAAGCGATGGCTCGGTTGGGGAAGGGGAGCCTCCACCCACCACGCCCTTATATAGCCCCCGGACGGACACTTCAGCTTTCGCACCCAACGGTCACGTTCATTCTACAACACGTCGGTTCCCAAGCAACCGCATCAAATCAAAAGATGACACGTCACACAAAAAGGGTCTGACAAAGCACATCCCGGGGAAGGGGAAGCCTCCATAGGAGCCTCCGCAGCTCAACATCAGTGAAAATTTGAGGGTCATGGCCCACCTGCATCAGACCAAACCCTCAAAGGGGAACTGTTGGGACATGGATATTTGAGCCACGGAGGCTGACTTTCACTCTAACTGAAGGAACTAATATCAATAAGTTGTGAGAAACATGATTTGCAGGAATTTTAGGACCAGGCCTTTGCCCAAGCCCTCCAGCCTAGTCGAAGGTTTAGGATCGACGGCAAAGGTCCTCGGAGGCAACGGTCCCTGGCCAAAGTACAAGGCGAAGGCCGTGAGACAAGGACGAAGGACCATGCGACTCAAGTGAGCAAGGAGGCGAAGGCGAAGGCGGTCAAGGAGGAGACCCTGGAGATTTCAAGGTGGCCTCCACTTAAACAAGGATGGAACCCTCATGGGTGATCAATGGGCCTCTATTGGGCCCGCAGCCGAGATCCAGGGAACAAAGGCGGTGGAAGCAGAGAAAACCAAGGATGCCCTTAGTGGTTTATGCTTGTGTAGAAATATTCATAAGAATATGCCTTAGCTGTTGAAGGGCAAAGATGTAAAGTAGAACCCTAGTGAATAGTGCTCTATAAAAGGGGAACCAAACCCTATGTAAAGAGAGAGGTTGGTGAATACATTCATGAAACCCTAATTGTGTCTGGGCCCACTAGTACACCTGCCTTGGTTTGGAGCCTCCGCCCATTCACCAATCCTGTCAGAATCCTATTTTTCCAACACAACCCTTCAGATTTTAGGGGGCTATGTAGATCTTTTTACTGTTTGCTAACACACCGCCATGTTAGCACCCATGTAGTATATTACGTTAGCAAAACCACCTTGAAAACCATCACATGGGTTGTTTAGATGGTTTTCTGTACTTACAGGATATCTGTTTTTTTTTATAAATGAGGGGGTGAAATAGACAATCACAATAGTTAAGAGATTAAATAGATTTTTTCTATTAGCAGCTAACTATTAGCTCGGTGATTTAAACAGGCTCGCTCTACGTCAGCCTCTTCTAATCCATATTCCTAAAACAACTCATTCCAAGCTTCTAGAGGGCGCTAGCCGGCAGCAGGAGCCGCCAAGGGATAGATGAGTGTCTGTTCGAGCTATCCTCGGAATCAACAGAACCTGACTGCCTGAGGGAGCGAGGGGACACAGACCGGACACGGAGTCGCGATCAACATGTTTGTGGGGGCAGCTGCAGCTCTTATTAGCCCACATGTCATCCATCGACACGTACTACGCGTTTGTAGGCACTAGTTCGACTGCTCGATGGAACGTACTCGTTGCTTTCGGGGCATGCACTTCTAGCAAACTGATCACTCGACACTGGTAGTGGTGCACTGGTGTTTGCCTCAGTTTGGTCGTGTCAAACTGTTCTGGCTCGTTTCTAATCAGTTTTTTTAACTTCATATCAAATCTACGACAATATATTTTTAAAATACGTTCTGATAATACATCAATATATTTATCTAAATATATGATCAGAGAAAAATCTATTAAAGAGCGAAATGTTCTTCGTCCTTCCTCGCTCACTACCGTCAGATGGAGTACAAAAAGTTACAATACCGTATGCAAACATGTTACGAAGTCCGATCTGAAAAACGAATTAAAATATGAAGTGTTTCCATAATCTGCCATTCTCTTACATGCCCAAGTTAAGTGTTCATATATGGTTTGGAATCCAGCCCTAAAGCGAATCAGAACACATGACACGACCATTGATAAATCTTTAAATCTCTCATACGCATGAGTTAGAGCAGCAGCACACACAGACATAATACAAAGTTCGATTTCAGACGACTTAAAATCTCGAGACGCGATCGAGTCGTTCGCATATATAACTACGAAATAATAAGCTGAATGTTTCGTCGCTACACATATAGGCATATTTTCTATATATATATGGGTATATGTGCAAGAGAAGGTACTGTATATAGCTCATTGCCAGCTGTTTCTATAGCTAGCGGACAGGTTGCCTTGTTTAGTGAGCATGACTGGTCCCGTCTAAATATGCACTGTACCAAACTGTGCCAGCAATAACTATGGTCGTAAACGTTTCGTATATCTTCATACCGCTATAAACCTTCGCGAAATCTCCTGTAGTGAGAAATATATACTGGTTATCAATTATAGAATTCAAAACAAAATTATTGGGGTACCAAATTAAATTATAGGTCCAGATTGCTACCGCACCGGATCACACCAATTGTAGGTAATATCACAAAACAATGATCTATCCTATCCCAAAAGTGCAACAGAAAACAAGTGACCTCTTGCAAGCATGCGTGCATGCATGGACCAAAGTTGAAATAAACCATGTACGTGCCGGCAAACAACTATAACAATATGGCACGACACTGCGGCACATGATCTACTACTTGGTTCGTCGACAAGTTCAGCGACGTCAATCAACTAACTAGCATTTCGAATTAAGAGAATATGTAATCATTCTCGACTACTGTTTTCTTCCTTTCTTTTCTTAACAGTGGCATGGTAATATGGAACCTTCGTTCAACTAGTTTTATTATTGCACCACCGTTTGAATCTATCTTTATCTATATGTGTTATTGCAGTTAAGATCCCACACCGAAAGAGCTAGCACGCTCGGATTGCACAAAACATCAACTTTGACGAAGTTCGAAGAAACCGACGCTACAAAAAGGATTTTTTGGGACATGACCTCAAATTAACAGAGGGGGTATTTTTAGGAGCCATCCCTGTAAATTGGTCAGATCTGTCTCAGCAATCGTGCGCCTCTATTGAACATTTACAGACATCCTAAGAGATTGCCTCTGTTAATCCACTATTTACAGAAATCGATTAACAGAGATGGCACATTTAAAACGTCCGCGTCTAGAAATAGTTCCATCAGAATTAATTTATAATTTTTTCATATGGATTTAGGTGAAGGCGAACTTTGTATCAAAATTGTAGAGATCAACATGATCTACAACTTCGTTGGTAAGTTTTCTATTTGAAACTGTTTAGAGTCCCAAAATTTAGTTTAATTTCTCATAATTTGAAATTAAATTTTAGAATTCTGAATGACCAAGGATGTTGACATGGTATGCACCAAACTTTTAGTTCTGAATACAATCGACAACTTTGTAGTTCACCGCTTTTTTAATTTGAAGTTGTTTAGAGTCCCAAATATGTATTTGATATTCTTAGATTTTGAAATTCAAATTTTAAACTTTCCAAAGGACCTTGAATGTGGACATGGTAAATACCAAATTTGTAGTGGTCAAAGAGATCTAAAAATTTATAGTTGACAAGTTTTTTTTCTATATATGAAGTTGTTTAGAGTCCAAAATGTTCATTTTAAGTTATCATATTTTGAGATTCAAATTTTTGAAATTGTATGACAATCTTGAATGGAGACATTATATACCAAAATTGTAGTGCTTAGCTTGCTTCCAAACTCCAAAGAACAACGTCCCAGTCGTTCAGATATCGCGCAGTGCGAGTTGGCCATATGGCCTTTGCGATCGATCATCCCCAACACCGCCAAACGTCATCCGTTGCGTCTGCAACATTAACTGTATGACAATCTTAGCCTTCGAGGGCGTCGTATCGTATCTGTGACTGTGATCGCTTGCTTTGGGTGGGTCCCGGCGTGCTTGTATATATATGTTGCCACGCCATGCAGGACGAACACCAGCGAGCTGCGATCGATGATCACTCAGTGTCAGTCACCACATCTCCGGTTCCGCGCAGGCATGGACGACAAGGCCTACTACGTGGCCACCGGCCTCTCCCTGGCGGCCTTCCTCCTCCTCCTCCACCGCCTCGTGGTCGCGGGCCGTGCTGGCGGCGGCAAGGGGAACAACGCCGCCGCGCGGCGGCAGCGGCAGCGGCTGCCTCCTAGCCCTCCCGCCGTCCCGTTCCTCGGCCACCTCCCCCTGCTAGTATCCCAGCGCGCGTTCCACTCGGCGCTGGCCGGCCTCGCAGCGCGCCACGGCCCCGTCTTCTCCCTGCGCCTGGGCTCCCGCGCCGCCGTGGTGGTGTCCTCGCCGGGTTGCGCCGAGGCGTGCTTCACGGAGCACGACGTCGCCTTCGCCAACCGCCCCAGGCTGCCCTCGCAGGAGCTCGCCTCCTTCGGCGGGGCCGCGCTCGCCGTGTCCAGCTACGGGCCCTACTGGCGCACCCTCCGCCGCGTCGCCGCCGTGCGCCTCCTCTCCACGCACCGCGTCGCGTGCAGCATGTGCCCCGTCATCTCCGCCGAGGTGCGCGCCATGCTGCTCCGGGTCAGCCGCGCGGCCGAAGCGTCCGGGCGCGTCCAGCTCAAGGACTGCCTGTTCGAGCTCTCCCTCAGCGTGCTCATGGAGACCATCGCGCAGACCAAGACGTCGCGCACCGATGACGCTGACGACGTGTCGCCCGAGGCGCACGAGTTCAGGCGGATCGTCGACGAGATCCTGCCCTACCTCGGCGCCACCAACCTGTGGGACTACCTGCCGTCGTTCCTGCGGCGGTTCGACGTGCTGGGCGTCAGGAACAAGATCGGGGACGTTGTCGGCAGGAGGGACGCCTTCCTGCAGCGGCTCATCGACGCGCAGCGGCGGAGTCTGGGCGACAGCGACGACAGCGAGAAGAAGAGCATGATCGCCGTCATGCTCTCGTTGCAGAAGTCAGAGCCGGACGTGTACACGGACACCATGATCATGGCAGTGTGCGGGGTGAGTGAGTCGTCTGTTAGCTTTTGTTTTTCCATGTGACTGATCGAGAATTCGGATACTGACTGTCGTTTTCTCAACTACCTCCTGTGATTGTGATGAAACAAAAAAAAAGAACTTGTTTACAGCCGGAACGGAGACGACGTCGTCGACGATAGAGTGGGCCATGTCGCTTCTGCTGAATCACCCGGAGGCACTCAAGAAGGCGGAGGCAGAGATCGAGGCGGCCGTGGGCACCTCCCGCCTCATCACCATGGACGACGTGCCCGGGCTGAGCTACCTGCAGTGCATCATCAACGAGACGCTGCGCCTGTACCCGGTGGCGCCGCTGCTGCTGCCGCACGAGTCGGCGGCGGACTGCACCGTCGGCGGCTACGACGTGCCCCGCGGCACGCTGCTGTTCGTCAACGCGTACGCCATCCACAGGGACCCCGCGGTGTGGGAGGAACCCGCCGAGTTCAGGCCGGAGCGGTTCCGGGACGGCAAGGCTGAGGGCCGCCTGATGCTGCCGTTCGGGATGGGGCGGCGCAGGTGCCCCGGGGAGACGCTCGCGCTGCGGACCGTCGGCCTCGTGCTCGCCACGCTCATCCAGTGCTTCAACTGGGACAGGATCGACGGCGCCGAGATCGACATGACCGAGAGCGGCGGGCTCACCATGCCCCGGGCCGTCCCGTTGGAGGCCACCTGCAAGCCTCGTCAAGCCATGCGTCATGTTCTTCAGCAGCTCTGATCGATCCATGTGCTAAACATTTTCATCCCTATTCTCTCTTTGGTGTGTGGCAGTACGTACGCTTGACTGACAGCGCGTGCTAGCTCATCTAAATAAGCTGCGGGCATACCTACCCGCGTAACTCTCGACAGTATGGTTCAGCAAGTTGTTATCTTTCAGAGTCAGAGGATGTCTAGTATAATTATTATATACATATAATAATAAAGAGCGAAATTATTTTTCTTTTGCCTTTCACTCTATTGTACATGGTACTGAAACCTACCATGCCGGAAGTGGCAAACGTGTATTTATTGACTAATGGATGAGAGTTTAACCGAGCCTTGATAACTCTTTGGCGCTCCAATGTGGGTCAGGGGGTTGTTTGACAACAACCTGATATCATGGGGGAAATTTTGGCTGTCTCTTTGCCTTACTATTTACTTGCTTTACTCTTGTTGATTTCAAGTTTCTTGATTATATTGACAACTAGGGAGTCATTCCATTTACGTGTGCTTCCTTTCCCCATGCCCAGAACGAGTGCCCCCAACGAAGAAGACCTCCGCCAGCCCCTCCACCAGCCTTGCCGCTGCTCGAGCGCGCTGCCTAGGAACCGTGCGGCCACAAGGACGGTGGCGGTGGGCCCTTTCCCTTCCTCTTCCCCAGGTCTCCCTCTCCTCTCCTCGGCGACGGGTGTGCAGCGGCCAGATCTTCCATGGATGGGCTCTGCGCCGGGATGGCCGGATCTGCGCGCGGAGGGGCCGGATCTGGTGCAGCCGGCCTCCGACGTGGGCGCGGGGACCGGGCTCTAGTTTCCCTGTTCTGGTGTGTTGGGGCGCCGGCCATGGCAGAGCAGGGGTAGTGTGGGCCAGCGCTGTCCCCTGCGGCTGCTCCTGGGTCGTGGCCGTCGGCGACGGCGACAGAGGCTATCAGCAGATGTGCGGCCTTGCGGAGTGGGCGGTGTAGGGCCAGCGGAGGCTGCTGGAGATCTGGCGTGGTGTAGTTGATGCGGGGCTGGCTCGGTAGGGGTTGGCCCGGTCGTGGGCTGGGCGACTAGGGCTTCTTCTGATCCCGGCCCTCTTCACTCCGCAATCTGCCTTTCCCCTTCCATGGGTTGGCTTCCGTGGCGGAGCTGGTTAGATCTACATGCTGTTGGCCGGCTTTGCCGGTTCCGGCGGAGGTGGACTCTCCGACGGGCTTCTCTCGCGCTTGTCCTGGCTGGCGTCTCTAGGGGCGGAAGGACGGTACCGACCTTGGATGATGTAGAGGTGAGTCCTGCCTCCTTGGATCTAGTGGGCTGCTGCTGATCCTTCACCGCACCCTGCCTCCTTGGTAGGGTTCGGTCTCCATTTGTTTGATGGGATGATGTGCCTTGTAGTTGTTAATATGGTCATTTGTGTTTGTGGGCTACAACAGTTGCTTCGAGGTCGGGAATACAAGTACAAAGCTTTGACGTTTTTTTCCTTGCAATATTTTCGTGTGCTACTCATGGAAAAAAACACATGGATTTCCTTTTATGCGTCTGCGGATGCCATTCCCTCATTGGAGGCGTCCTTTCCTACCTCTCTTCTACCATGCCGGAAGTGGCCGTATTTATTGACTAATGGATGAGACGCCTTGTTGCAATGTGAAACAACCTTCCTTGACGGGCTACATTGTCATTGCTTTTAGTGTCGTTTTCTCCTTGGAGACATTGTTAGGCATTCCAGTTCCGCGGTTGCTCCTTGCCGCTCGGCCATGGTGGTGTCCCAAGCTGTGCTGTCTAGTGTCACCCGGCAGGTCTTGTGTTTCTTCAACCCTTGTTAGTTGTTAGTTGGGTGGATTCGATCAATTTAGAGTAAGTAGTGGCGTGAGTTGATGGTTGTTTAGTTGTTGTTTCAAAGTTATGTAGGATGAGTGGTGCACTCTCCTTAGTTTTCAAAAAGCTAGGATGGCACTTGCTTTCTTTTTTTTTCTTCGTCAAATAGAAATCGCCCCCAAGCTTTTGCCGTCCTTTCTAAAAAAATGACAACTAGGATTGATTTGTTAGTGTGCTCAACATAGGTTTTATACTTGGAAAACTAAGGACCTTACTCTTAATGAAACCATATGGTAAGTACTTGATTAATTAGTTGTGTTGGAGCTAAAGAACCCATTGGCTTGCTTTTGTAGTCAAGGTGCTAAGATGGTTTAGATTTTGTATAGGATAAGGTTGTTGCAATTAATTAATAGCCTAATTTACTACCCCTCTTACACCATTTAATCATTTCAATAGTATCATCACTTACGACCTACGTTTAAAAGTGGTGCCTAGCTAGGCGGTGGAGCAACACTCTTCGACTCGCACCGCAGGCTTTTCTCCAGGTGTTTTTTTTCTTAAGAGTTGATTAGGACATGGTCCTTGAATGAAAATATGACAAATAGAGATGGAGAAAGATGAACTATAGTCATTGAACCCATACACGTTTGTGATAATGTCAAATTCTTTCTTACAATGCCATGTATTCTACATTTAACAATGAGTTACTCTACTGACCAGACAAAGTACAAGTACGTGTACAAATAACTGCCTAGGCACGCTGGGCTCACTGAAACATTGGTTGAGACTTACGCAGTACAACCTAGCTAGAAACCTTCAAATTATATTCAGCATTTTCCATGTGAAATTATATTCAGCATTTTCCATGTGAAACTATATTCAGCATTTTCCAATTGGGTTTTCCTGTTCATGTCATATACTAATATTTACAACGAGGATCACTCAGCCAGAGGCATTTCTTTGTACTAGTTGAATCTAGCACCAAAAGAAACGAAGGACTCAATCCCTAAGTTTGCTTGGATTAGCCGGGTACTAGCGCAGCAAACAAATCTTCAGGTTTGTTTACGGAAAAAAAAACCATCAACTAAGTGTGTAACCGCATGAATTCAATTACTCACAATTCAGTAGATCCTAAAATAACGGTACATCTTATTTTTTGAATAGTCCATTTTTTACTAATTTATAAAAAATATTACTAATATTTGTATCTCATAATATGTGTATTAAAATATACATCACTATTAATTTAATGATATTTATTATGCATCATAAGTATTAGTATATATTTTTGTATATTTTTTTTCACGAGCGAGTTGGCATCCGTTTTTCATTAAGAGGAGAAGCAGTCTGTAACAAAGCGAGCGAGGAGGGGAGGCGAGAGGCCCCAACAACCGCTGCAGGAACACCTAACTACTGGATCTAGTATGTTGTAGATTACATGACCACGTTATTTTGCGACCAAATAGCAGAGTCTGTCTACTACACAACCATGTGTTTTATACAGTTTCAACACATTAATTTTTTTGCACCATAGAATTAAGATCCAACAGCCTCCACCCTTCTTCTACCTCCAGCCTCTAGCCTCCACAAATCACATATCACAATTTTTTTTTCTATGGAAGGACAAATCACAGATCCACCGCCGCCGCACCGCCGGGGTGAGCTCGCCGGTCGCCGGCGCCGGCGCCGGTGGTCACCGGTGAGAAAGAGAGAGGGAGATAGATACAAAAAATCCATGTGTTTTTTTTATTTTTTTTTTGCTAAAATACATGTGTGTTGTATAGCATTTCTGATACCAGAAAGTGCCGCCAAAGGTGCAAAGCCCGCCATCGCCTATTCCTCGCCTTCTACGAACGCCATTCTAACTATAGCAGAGACCGAGGCCGGCGCTCTCCTGAAGACCCTAGCGTTCCTCTCCTTCCAAATCGACCAGGCAACCAAAAGGAGCAGAGAGTCGAACAACGGCCGTGATGCGCTGTGACGCTGTCTACCCACCGTCGCTGGAGCAGCCACCAATCGGCGATGTCACCACCATCCCCCGACACCAAAGACGACAGCTGCAGCGGCCGAAGCATCTCGAACCAGACTTGCCTCGCGAAAACACATCCAAGGAAAAGGTGCTCGCACGTCTCCGACTCCTGATTGCAAAGGGCGCAGTCGTCGCAGTCCTGCAGGCCATGTTGCTTTCTCCTGGCCGAGGTCCAGAGCCTACGGTGCACTGCAAGCAAGATGAACAGCTTGACGCGTGGAGGCGCCTTGACGCGCCAGAGCTCCTTGGCACCGAGCAGGGAAGCCGATCCGGCGAAGAATGCTCTGTATGTACAAGACACGGAGAAGTTTCCGTCGGGCGACCACTTCCAAATGAACCTGTCTGGTGTCGTGGGCTGCAGCTGGACCGAACGCATGACTTCCCAAACTCTGAGGTAGTCACAGAGGACCTGGGTCGTCGGCGCCCCAGTGATGTCCCTCGCCCAACGGTTGTCGACCAACGCATCTCGCAGTAAGCGCCTGCGACCAGTCCTGGACACGGTGGCAAACAGGGCCGGGGTGAAGCGCGACAGGGTGCCCACCGGAGCCTAGTTGTTGGTCCACATTCTAGTTGAGGCGCCATCACCCACCGAGACGGACATGCTCACTGAAGCCATGGCCGCCACCGCCTTCTCCGGCCTTGACGGCAGCCCAGCCCAGCAACGTGTAGGCTCGGACCTGGCGAGCCACTCCCAGTGCAAGCGCAGTGCGAAGCCAAAGAACCGCAGGTCTAGGACTCCGAGGCCGCCGAAGTCCGTTGGTTGGCAAACAATTGGCCACGCCACCTTGCATTTGCCGCCTGTGCACGACTCAGTCCCCGCCCACAAGAACGCCCTGCGATGCTTGTTGATTTGTTTGATTGCCCACTGGGACAAGCAGCAGGCGATACTCAGGTGAACCGGGATTGCTGACAGCGTCACCTTGGTGAGCAGCACACGCCCAGCGGCCCAGCGTTAGTGAGGAGATCGGACTTCCAAGTCGGGATCCTAGCCGCAATGGCGTCAACCAGTGGCTGCTCGACCGCCCGATTCAGTCGCCACATGGATAGTGGAATACCTAAGTATTTGCAAGGGAAGGGTGCGACCGTGCACGGGAATGTCTGCTGGAGCTCCGCAACCGTTTGCTCGTCACAGCAGATCGGAGTTGCGACGAACTTGTCAAAGTTTGTGACCAAGCCGGAGGCACCGGCAAAGATCTG